GTTCATCACTGAACTCTTGAACATTGGATTGTGCGGACGGATTAGTTCTTTGGCTTTCTGGCGAAGCATATTTGTTGACACTGGAACTTGATTGTCCCGGAGTTCTAGAATCCATTTTACCAGCTTGTCATCAATTTCTTTGGGGTAAGACAGTTTGCCACCACTTCCGGGAATGTTGTCATACCGTGAGACGCGTTGAATATTCAACTTCCCGGTCGCTTCGTCTCTCATCCACCTGGTGACATTACTGTGGTGTACTGAGTATCGTCTTGCGGCTGCTCGCTGACCGTGCTGCTGAGCGTACATAACGATTCGACGTTTCACCGACAATGTGTAGCGATGCCTGAAGTCGGATTTAGTAGCACTCTCACTCTCAACTCGAATCACTTGTACTTCCGTTGTACAATTGTTTACCAAGTTTGGTATGGCAAACTCCAACTTTTTTCTTGAAAACTGGGAATAACTTGCGTGGCTGTGGCTGGCGTGGTGGTTGATTTGGTGACGATATGAAATAGTTTCGGACCAGCAGCGACAGGAGAAGACATATTTGCAAAGCAAGCATGGAACGAATGAAAAAATGATGCCCCATCACTTGTATTTATGGCAAAAACAATAAAGAAAAACACGTTTTTCTATAGATTTTTACAGCTTGGGTGCTTGGGCATTGTTTTAATTGCGCTAGACGTCTGACAGTACAGCTTTGGTTTATATATTTCCTGTTTTATAATCAAGCCAGCTTATAATAATATGCTAATGATATTCATGTACTTCACAGTCCACGCAAACAGGGTCCATGGCCCTACCCCCTATACATTCAAATACGAAACGATACGAGAAAGTAACAATTACGTGTATAAAACATTATTTCCTGTGACCAATCGGAGAGACGAAATCATTTACGAAAGCCCAGGCCTGTTACAAGGCATTTTCTGATTGGTACAAGTCCAGATTATTTTCAATTCTCACAAATAGCTAATTTAAATATTTGGGTCAGGTGGGTCACGTCAACTTTGCTTTGCTGTCTCTCTTTACCTCCATGCTGTAAGACGAGTTGATCACGCAAGTTTGTGGAACTAATCCATTCGACTTCAATTTTGATTATTAGTGCCAGTTATTTTGTCACTTCCCTGAACATTTTGTCTCGAATCACCTTAAAACGAATGTCTCAATTGAAATGCAAAAAATAACCCCAAACCACGATCAGCGAGAGTGGGCTGCGTAATCATTACATTTATTTTTCGACACCTCCGATTTTCCAACAAAGGCGTTCTAAAATCGTGACGTGCTTTATTTGGTTATAAAGACAACATTGGCAATGAATATCTCAACGTGTCCTTCGGTGTTTCGTCAAAAAACAGTTACTACTAAATAGTTTGTGAATTGTTCGATCGTGTATCAGAAATTTAAAAGACAAGTTGACAGTCACATTCATGCTCTCAGTGCATTTCTTTCGTCTATCATTCTTCCATTCTCAATTACACAGGACATTAGGCAAGCTACGGGGATAAACTTTATTTGTCTCACACCTTCTGTGGGACAATAAACAATGAAGGGTGGAAGTGAGGCACGACAAGCTTGTGTCTGCCTGATTGTAAACAACTGGACGGCTGGCGCTTATTTCAGGATTCTTATTGACAAAACCACTCAACTCTTGGTGGCTCTTAATGGAGGGTCAAATGTAACGAATTTTCACTGAGTGGCTCTTAATTGAGAGTGGTGCTTATTTGCGGGTTTTTACGGTAGTTATGTCAGTGAAAGCTGATTAAATAATATGATTGTCGTCTGTCTGTCTGTGTCTGCCTGCATATTCTGTGAAAAATAAATGCCCAAGACAAATATATATAAAGTAATTATTACAGTAAAGTAAAGTATACAGTAAAAATAAATTCATACTTTTGTGTTATTCGTTTGACTGCTGCTATATCTTCTTTCACAGTGGCCATGTTGATCTGACCATATTAGGTGCCATGCAAGTATCTCAGTTTGGAGACCTCGCGAATTGGATGATACCAGTGAGTAACAAATTATTGCCATGTATGTGTTATTGTATGAGGTGTAGTGTGCCCTCTATATTGCCAAGCTTGCTGGATTACAGAGTGCTCTTTGTTACCAAGCTTGCTGGATTAGTATGCCTTCCGTGTTGCCAAGCTCGCTGAGGTATGGTGTGCCCTCTATGTTGCCAAGTTTGCTTGGGTATAGTGTGCCCTCTATGTTGCCAATCTCACTGTGGTATAGTGCGCCCTCTAAGATTGATATATGGTGTAGTACAATTTTCTTCACATAACTGATATAATATTATTTTTGACCAAGGGTAAGCTAGTAAAAGGAATGGGTGGAGCCATGGATTTAGTGGCTAGTGCCAGTGGAGGAACCAGAGTTGTAGTTACAATGGAACATGTAGCTAAAGGAGGAAAACACAAGATCTTACCGGAATGCTCATTACCACTAACTGGGGTTAAATGTGTGAATAGAATTATCACGGAAAAGGTAAGTAACTTCCTTGCCTTCTATAATATATCTTGGCCATGTTGTAGAATAGCAAGTATTTCCTGTCTGTTCATTCAGTGGTCTGTGTACAGTGTGTGGCACAAATCTGCATCTTAGTTTTATAAAAACATTAATGAATATTAGTAAGCACTGGCCTTCAGCTTTTATCCAAATTAAAATATAGATAATCACTATTACATATTGTGTGTGCATGTCTTCAATAATATGTGGAAGTGTGGTGGTGTCTATGAACATCCACTTATTCAAATTAAAGTGTTTGCTGATTGAATGAAGTTGAACTAACTCATCAGCTTTATTTTTATACTCACTGTGATGTCTCAACACCATTGCCAGACTGATCCAACAGTCATTTTGATTTTCTATATTTATAAATGATTTATGACAGCGACGGGTTGCTGCTCACATTGTATCATTCCCGTTTTTTAGCTCTGCTGTCGTCAAAGTCGAGCGGAGCTTATAGTATTACTGATTGTCCATCGGCGTCCGGTGTCAGTCGTCGTCGCCACTTTACATTTACATTTTCGACTTCTTCTTAAAAACCACAAACTGTATAGCTGTGAAACTTTCTAGGAAGGTACCTTGGGTGCTTCTCTCTCAGATTTGTTCATTTCGTGTGGATATGTTCAATTGTCTTATTTATAGCGAATATTTTTGGTCAAAAATGCTATTTTCGACTTCTTCTTGAAAACCGCTAGCCCGAATGCTTTGATACTTGGTATGTAAGTACCTTGGGTGGACTTCTCTCAGATTTGTTCATTTTGTGATATCTTTAATTTTCTAATTTTGATGAATATTTTTGTAATTTTTGGTAAAAAGTGATATTTTCGACTTCTTGTTAAAAACCGAAAGTTCAATTGCTTTGATACTACATTTCTAGGTACTACATGTGGTCCTCTCTCAGATTTGTTCATTTCGTGATGATATCTTTAATTCTCTAATTTTCATGAATATTTTTGTCATTTTTGGTAAAAAGGGATATTTTCGACTTCTTGTTAAAAAATGCAAGTCTAATTGCTTTGATATTATATATAACTACATAGGCATACAGGTAGACCTCTCTCAGATTTGTTCATTTCGTGATGATTTTGTTCTTCAATTATCTAATTTTAATGAATATTTTTGATAAAAAGTTATAAAAAGTCTGAGTGCTTTAATACTATACATATTGTTCATTTTTGAATGATATCTTCTGTTCTTTAATTGCAATGTGCCTTGATAACAGCGACGCTATCTCAGCCGACAGGCTGCTAGTCATGATGTATGACCCATGTGTGTCGGTTATTTCCTCTACAGTGCGTCTTTGACATTGATAGTGAGAGTGGTCTTCACTTGGTGGAGATAGCTGATGGCGTTACTGTCGAAGACATCATTGACTCTACCGGATGCACATTCACTGTAGCAGAAAACCTGAAACCAATGGCTCAAGTCGAAGATTCGTAACTGATTCCATTTCAACAAAGAAGACGATATACAATTTTGATGGTGTGCTTCCATGAATTTTATTAAATATATTCTAAATATATATTTGAAATGACTAGGGAGGGTGAAGGAACTAAACGAGACATTGCATTTTCAATAATTTGTTGACTAAATTTCTCTTTTTTTTCCATGCCTTGACTTTCAATGTCTAAAAAAAAATAGTAATGACTGTACATTGTTGTTTGGATTTACTGACCGACTTATTTCAATGATTATTACAGCAACCATGTTATGAAAATACATCTCGACTAGAAGTTATGATATCACACAAGGAAAAAATATTGCGCTTCTAACTTCAATGACCTCCTTGGGTGCAAATCAGAGTTGCAAACTCTTACTGAATTTCAAGAGATTTAAATCAAGATTATTGCAATATTGTATTAATGTACATGTATGTAAGGTGTGGCGAGTGGTCGTTACACAAAAACTGTATTTTACACATGTTATATACATCACTGTGGGACCCATATCAAACCTGATGCGAGGCGATAACCACTGCCCTTTAAAGTCCCAAGGTTAGGTACGTTGCACAGTGCAGAATGTGATCCATATATAATCCAACGTGATTTGTGTTATCAGACACTAGTTTGTGAAACTGTGGCAAACATCACCAGTATGCAGTGTTTCATGGATTTATTACATATATTCTGATTATTCCAAGTCATAATCATAGTTTTAATGGTAATAATGATGATAAACTGACAATTTACAAAATTGTTACACATTTTTATGCCAAATTTGGATATCAGTTTGTGAAAGATGAAATCAGGCTTTAAATTGCAGATATGGTCAGGATATCTTACTTTGATGCAGAGATGATGCTTAGGTGAGAGTTATCTTTGTGTTGTCATGGAATTTTAAGATTATATCAAAGTAATAAATTTGTGTGAAATTGACTCGTGTTGTCTTGTTTGGTTTATGTTTGTTGTTTTCATAACTGCTGAGCTGCAGTGCTATGCTCATTAATGACCTCCACAAACATTATTTAATGGTAGACATTGTCAATGCACATATGCAGAGCCTTTATTTCTATTGACAATGTACACTGGTACAAGCTGCACTGTACTGCACTGTACTGCACTGCGCCAAGATTATTGGTAAGGAGAACGATCCATTATACAGGAGGGGTAGATAAGAAACTATATTTTGTAATATTTTTGGATAATATATTTTTCCTACTCCCTGTTCTAATTGCAGGGTTCTTAAAATATGGTACTTACAAGGCAAAAAGTAATTTGATGGTAACCATGATCCAACTTTATTTATTACAATTTTCAGGGTAAATATAAATAAATAAATAAAACCTTTTATAATAATTTAAAATTAATAATAGTACTTTGAATGATAAACATTGCTTAGTTCTAAGTATTTGTGATAACATGCATGCTAAATATCTATATAACATAACCTAAGTATGCAAATTTCAATCTGCTCTAATTTAAGCAATACACTAAGTGATAAAGCAATACAATGTACCGATATTACCTGATTAGGATTCAAATTCAACCATTTTGAATTCTCAAATGTTCATTATAAAGACACTCGTATGATCTAAATTTGAGAAATTCAAATTTGGTTTCCAAATTAAAAATGTTATTCCCAGAGATAACATCCACAAAGGATGTGCTAAAGAAGTTATCGAGCAGAGCTTGTTCCTGCTGCAATTGTATTGTGTAAACAATGCACGTCCTATGGGACCCATACCGACCATGACAATATGGGATGATTTATCCTTTATACAAACATGTAGTCAATACTTGGTGCATAAGGGTCATTGAAATTCTTTTGACCAATCAGAATGATTGTTGTTATTTCTTTGGCACATGCTGATGGTTAACAGGATTCTGTGTGCAATATCGTGATTTATCTAATTTGCATAATTTATAACTCTGTGGTTTTGTTTTGTTGAAGAACTGTATCAATAAACCTAATACAAATTTTGTGAAGGGTTTGACCGTTTTGTCCAAAAAGCATTGCAAGACTAAAGTGGGAGCTGCCTTTTATTACGTGATATTCACATTGATAACCATGATTCTGTAATTTCATCACAAATTCTCTTGCATCTTTATCAAGCCCAAAATCCCACTCGGCATTTGTGATGAGAAATCGTGGCATATCATTTAGGGAGTATTTAATGTATGTAACTGGTGAAGCAATTGTCCAACAGCTTGGTTTGGATTCAAAGGTGGGGGTGAGATACAATTCTTGTAAACATCGACTTCCTTCTGCAAGGCTATGCAGATTGTATATTCCAGATATTGATATCACCCCCTGTTAAAATATAAAAAAAAAAATGTTAAGTTTAAAGCAAAGCTTACACAAACTAATTCTTGTGGCTTTTTTTTTTCTTTTTTTTAAATTGTTTTATTATGTTTAAATTAATGTAATAAACTTTGATGCAAACATTAGAGATGTATAATAAAAGTTGTACTTTGTACGACTTCAAAACAATTATTTTATCGGTAGTTGTAAATACTATCAAATTTTATGCGTGTAAAATAAAATACTGTAAGATACATTATTTTTGCTTGGAATTATTTTTTTTCTTCTATATTTTACATGAACTCGTCAAAAATTTTAAAATAAATTCCACACAAAACGCCCACAAAGTCTTTTCAGCAAAAATTAATTCCAGCTAAAATAAAGTATTTTACATTAACAATTTTACAGATGGGCAAACAAGATTCATACAGGGAGTTAGCACACTCACTAGAAAGTTCCTATGAATATTGCAATATAATAGGCGTTATCTAATTTTATGAGAACGATTTACTACATTTTGTGACAATAACTCTTTTCCCTGGTTGAACTATGTCTAGGTTGTCTGTTTTCAAAAACTATAAAAAGGCAGTTGTAAAATATCTGTAGGAATCATAGTTACCGGTAAAAGGACTGAATATTTCTATATTTTTAACTTGTTTGGGCGTTCCTTTTGCTGTGCTAATCCCAGTTTCCTCTCAGCATGAACACAATGAGATTAGCTTAAATATTAACTAACCAATACTTGGCTTAGCCTGAATATGCTATTATTACACGTAGTATATGACCTCTGTTACTTTATTCTTACTGTAGTAACAGAGGCCATTTACTATGTGTGATAAACGATTCAAATTTGCATAAAGTCAAGAGTTGTAAATCTATAATCAGAACGACAACTACTTGTAAACTGTTGATAACAGCCTTAGAGTTGGGGGCGGAAGAAAAGATAATAATCCCTGTGGGTGGACCAATCAAAACTGTGCAAAATATTTTTTCTTCACCCAGTTTTGTGCTATTATTTTTTGCCATGATGAGTCGCATTAATTTTTGTTATTACAACTGTGTGTAAGATTTTAAACCTAAAAAATAGGCATACAGAATTTTGTTTTCCATGCAGGATTTTTTTTCCAGAATTTTTTCTTGTGCATTTTTTTTTATAATTCTGCCACCACGAGTTTCTAATGGTCAACCCCCTTAGCAATATATGTTGGTCACTGATAATGATAAAACAGAACTTATTGACTTTTCTCAGCCCTCACTCCCACTTCTTCTTATTGCTCTTGTCTTAGAAGTTTGCCATTAGTTATTTGGGTAACTGTGGTGGTGATTTTTGAGAAAAAAATTGAAAAAACAATCCTACATAGGAAATACAAAATTCTTGCTCAAAAGAAAGTGGACAAAAGTAATAATGATTAGCACTATTTTTGTAACATTTCCTGTCCCAGAATCTACCCATTATCAATCGCTTGCTTACCTTGATATCGCAGAGATCGAGGCCGACTTCTTGTAGGTAAACATCAGAATTTAGCGTTAGAAACGATACCATATGACCACCTGCCGAGTAGCCACAGAGGAATAATTTACGAATGTTAAAGAGTTTGGTTATTATTCCATATTTACGAACCCACCGTATGCTCTGCGCGATGGATCTTATCTGTGATGGGTGTTTCAGTGTGGGGACATCGGCAAAATAGACCGTAAGCAGAATCACCTGGGACAAGAATACCAACAACACTGACGACAGAGATATAGAATGTTCGATGCTCAATAAGTCGTATTTCGTGCACAGGTACCCACAGAGACCGGCGAATACGGTGATTAAGGCAACTGAGTGTGGTCGCAAGGAAGGGTAGTTCTTTCTGTGAAGGCACAGTGCGATTATCCATACCACGATCTGAGACAACCCCACATAAATACACAATGTTGACAATACAGGGGTTGACATTGCGCCATGAAACACTGCAAATTGTACAAAATATTGAACGCCAAAATTACCGGTTGTAATAAAAAGCAACAATTGAGCAAGACAAACTGCCAGCGTTAACAAAATCCCAACTGACGCGATGGACATAACAAAAGACAAAAACATCTCTACAAGGACAAATGAAAGTTGAAGTCGGCTTAATGGGTACGATATCACGGCGCAAGCGATACCGCGTTTTGCGAAAGTCTCGCCGACATTGGAATATGTCCCGTAATATCGCTGTAAAAAGTACATGAGTAAATTAGTATCGTAGGAGGACATAAAATGATTCCAAGATTGTCTGTCTCCACGTCGCCAGCCCCCGCCATGTACAAAAACTACGACTGGAGGAGAAGCCACTCCTGTATATGTTTGACCTCCATTCAGGGACACGTATGGAAGTGGACGTGTCGGCAGATACAAGTCAAGACAATGTTTATCCATTCCATTTTTACGTCGAATTGATTTCTTGTGCCGTCTTTCAATATTTTTATCTGGTTGTACGAGATAGTTTACATCGTAGATAACCCTGAAATCCATAAGATATTATCAATTTAGTGTTACGTAGGAATGTATCAAGTGATTTGTCAGGTGATCACTCACGTGACCCTCCGTAGACTTCTGTTTCACCAGGGGTCAACCCACAGTCAGCTGGCGCACATCTGATATAATAAAACAACGTTGTGTCGTCACCGGAAGCGCTGTCCCAGCACAAACCTGTGTTGGCTGGTTCCCGCCTCAAGTGTCATGGCGTACCAAGCCACAAGAGGCCGGTAACTCGTCGTGTCGTCACCGGAAGCGCTGTCCCAGCACAAACCTGTGTCATATGACGCCTTACTAGCCGATTTTGGCTAAAATTCCGCTCCGCCGCCTCTTTACAACAGTATTTATACGCGGAACTTGATATTGCTTTTTACAATTTGGGTTGCCTTTGAATCACATATTTTTAGTGAAATATTGTTTATAGAGTGAAATATTATTGTCACACATAATTCAATCTTTGAAACAACAGAAACTAACACATAATAACGATAATCAAATTTGTGTTTGAAGTTCGAAAGTAGTTGCGTTATTTCCGGTTTCAACTAGTTCGAAAATAGAACGTCCTTGAGCGCAATAAAATCACGCTTAGAACTCCGTCCGAACCAGACTCTAGCAGCGTAAACTTATTGCAATTTGGGCCCAGTTTGTTCTTACAAGTTTTCTAAGTTTCATTTATCATTATTTAGTAAACAGGTCTCTAGAACGATTAAATATATCCGTAAAATACGTGCCAATCGACGATTGACTTCGAAACGTTCGAAATTTCGAACAAACTCCCGGCACACCTTGCGCGATATGCGTCAGATCGGTGTAGAAGACGCCGAACTGCAGCGTCAATGAATAAAATAAATACGATATTTACTATATGGGGGCCGCCATCTTGAATGACGCATAAAACTAAATAAGAGACAAGTTGTGAAACGCGTTTTTCAGATTCTTACAAATCAGGACCTTCAGCGTCAATGGCCTCTCCGTGTAAAGAATGATCTAGTGAATCTCTAGCAACTACAGGGTGGGGATGAGAAAAATGGGGAAATCGTTTCATTTGCATAAATAAACACATGAGCATTCACCCTTTTCGTGTAAGGTAAGAATGACCTGGCGAATCTCTACGCAACAACTGGGAGGGGATGAAAAAGGGGGAAAATCATCTTATATTTGTTTTTCAAAATGTATCAAAAATATTTCTGATAACCAACATGGCAGTTCTAAATTGACTGATTCTGTCATTACGAGCTAAAAAAAAAATCGAAAAAATGAAGTAAATATATCTTCGACTCCCGTGTGCGAAGCGGTTGTTCAGAGTTCAACCAGTATCTCATATATGTATATATGATCAGAGGTACATTACTTAGGGTTTGCAACTCGCATAGTACTGTATGGTGACATCATGTCAAGATCCCATTCAAGTCTCTTCTTGTAAATAGCGAGACTGAGGCTACGACCTTCTGACATGACGCATATCAATGTTCAAGGTTTGTATTAAATGAAAAAAATAAACTTTTCTTGACACTATCATAGTGAAAAATGTAATACATCGAAAATGTACAGAAAATATAGTTCTCGTAATCCGTCATATCGTGGGCAGCTATTTTGATCCACCTGGACATCCCAGTATCCTAGTTACCTCGGGCATGCGCATTCGCATTTTTTCTGAGTTGGAACGTTTATGCGAGAGCGAGATTGTGACAGGATCTTGGTATCATGTCACCGTAGTTACAAACCCCAAGTAATGTACCTCTGATATGATATATAGCCAGGATTACTTCATAGCTGAGTTTGTGCTGTTTCCTCGACTTTAGCCTTTTTCAGAGACCATAGCCCATACATAATACAGTGGTACGCACCTCAGCAACATAAAACATTCTGTGACGTAGCTCCGCCCGAGGATATCTAATGCTTAATCCTACACATCCTCTTACAGTTTTGAAAGAAGTTCTAAGACTAGTGTCGTCTCTGTATTAGTGAGTATCTTACTATTATTCATGAATCCACGTTTGTTAGTACCCGTTCGGACGCAGTCCGAAAACGGGGACTTGTATGTTTTGACCTCCGTGTGTCCGGGCGTGCGTCCGTGCGTGCGTCCGGACCTGTATCTTAGAAATGCCTGGACCAATCACAATCAAACTTCACACATACATCATACATGATATTATACATATGCACGTCAATTTGTTTCACGATCTGATTCAAGATGGTCGAATAGCGGCCATTTTGTTCTAACAAATCCTAAAAATCAAGCATTTCTTGGATTTTGTTCAAACTTGGTATACATTAGACATTAAGGGACCTTGATGCAAATAATTTTGTTTTTCAGATAAGATTCAAAATGGCCGACTGGCGGCCATTTAGTTTTAATGAATGTGGTTCTCGTGCCATATCTCTTACTTGCTTTCACTGATTTTGTTCAAATTTTAAATATTCATTATAAATCATGTCATAGATAGACAGATATTGGTTTGACAATCATATTCAAAATGGCCAAATGGTGGCCATTTTTGTGCTAAAAAATCATCAAATATCAAGCATTTCTGGCATTTATGGATGGATTTCGTTCAAACTTGGTACACACATTAGACATTACGGGTTCCTGATGCACGTCATTTTATTTTTCAGATTGGATTCAAAATGGCTGTCTAGCGGCCATTTTGTTTTAATGATTGGGCTTCTAGACCCATATCTCCGACTTGTTTTGACTGATTATGTTAAAATTTTAAATATTCATTATACATCATGCCATAGATAAACAGATATATTGGTTTGACGATCCTATTCAGAATGGCGGAATGGTGGTCATTTTTGTGCTAAAAAATCATCAAATATCAAGCATTTCTGGCATTTATGGATGGATTTTGTTCAAACTTGGTACACACATTAGACATTACATTACGTCATTTTATTTTTCTGATTGGATTCAAAATGGCTGACTGGCGGCCATTTTGTTTTAATGATTGGGCTTTTAGAGCCATATCTCTTAAATGCTTTGACTGATTATATTCAAATTGTATATAATTATTATACATCATGTTATATATATATATATATATATATATATATATATATATATATATATATATATATATATATATACATGTATTCAAAATGATTTTGAATGCTATTCCAGAGCAATATCTCTCAATATGGACAAGTACTTGTTTTCCCTGAATTCAACATCAGTAAAGTTGAACAAACTGTAAATATTAGAGTTAGCTAACACTTAATATAACATCATAGTTTCTCAGAATTGAACTAACTACTAAACTATTTATCTGTCCATTTCTGTGAATGACTATGAATCTAAACGTTCTGGTATTCTAATGATTTTTTCAGATTGAGTCGTTCTTTGTTGAATCAAGTGTACATTTATCTGCATATAACTGTGGTTTAACTAACTGAGATCCTTTACTTTATAAATCAGTGCTTTCCTGTATCGTCTTACAGTGCCTTTTTAAGTTGCTTTTTTAAACTTGGAAGTACTGGCAATTGTGGCGGGGGGTGTAGTATGTGAGGTGACATTCCTGTAAATCCCGTAGTGTTAAGAAGTGGCATTAGAAGTGTATGATCTGTTTCTGGTGTGAAGTACATTCCGAGTACATAATCAGTGAATTTTTCACATGCCAAAATTGCTGCAGGTACTTCTTTTTCTACGACCGCATATCGTTTATCTGTATCGCCGAGAGATCGCGAAGCGTAGCAAATAGGGCATCGTTTTCCATTATCTTGTATTTTCATTAATACTGCACCGTTGCCTGTAGTGGATGCATCAGCTGCGATGATAGTTGGACGATTTGGATCAACTGTATTGTATGCTTAGAGAAGTGTCAGTCCAGCTGCACATGTGTGTGCATGCGCAGTTGATGAGTCAAACTGATTTGACCCCCCCCCCCCATGAAACAACCCAACTGAATGGTCGTGGGGTGGACATGGTCAGGGGCAGAGCCCTGCACTAGGTGACAATGACTGAGTTTGTCGGTGGTGTAGATTCATTGATATGCATGGCAATGTGTGCCCAACTTTTTGTGGCCTCATACGTTATTACTTTTTACGAAAACTGGATAAGACAACTACATAGTCGAGCACAGCTACAAGATCCAATTTGCCAGTCAACCCCTATTGACAACAACACTGGTGTCAATAAACCTAAACGCTTAAACAGTACGTTTCATTTCACAAGAACCATGGTAAATATGCAATAGACGCGATAGCAAGGTGAGTGAATCGAGACGTGCATGGATTCCACCATTCCCAATGATTCAAGTTGTACTCGCAACAACAAATGTCACAATTGAGAGCGGATATTGCGAATATGCCAGCGAAAATGTGGTTTCCACAACTACTACATGATACTGTTAGCAACAAAGTCTGTCAGATAATAATCACTTTTGAGGCAGGACCATTGGGAGCTCCCAGTGAATCCTGCACTGTTCCAATCTTGCACTCGCCACCATCTGGATCTACGAGTGCAGATGGAGATGAACAATGTTCGATAGGCCACAGAGAACGATCGTGCATATTCCTATATGACTCATATTCACCAGGTCAGGGGATTGGTTAACACTGGTATTACTTTCAATCAGATGCGTCGATTAATCATTTTCTAGTTACAAGGTGTTAATTATCTATTATTTATCAGACTAAGCTCATGAAGCAAAGGCTTTAAACAAAATGTTTCCACTGGTCAATAGCCAGCAAATCTGCAGGTGGTATGCATATGAAACATTGCGCGAATAAGTAAAAATATACCTCTGGCGGTACTTTCCAGTTCTTTTGATTTTTGTTGAGTTGAGAGTTTCTGTTCATAGTTCCATCAAGTCCTATATGGGTTTTAGAATATATATCTTTAGATTTATCAGTTTTCACTACTTTCCCTTATTCCTTCTTAATCAACAGATGACCAGACCAGTATTACAAGTGAGTAGATTTCATTTTGTCTTTTTGTTAACTGTTAAAGTTATATTATTTGTGGTTACACTACCTATTTCCTACTTTCGGAATTAGTAACTCTTGCAGATCACCCATTTCTTGCTTTTACACTCTGGTCATTGAGTTCATTCGATAATCTAATATGAAATCTTGGTAAGATAAGTTTGACTGAGCTTGGTAAAATACACACATAGTTAATTTGAAATTTTACACAGTGAAGTCGTACTTACTATACTCCACTCACTTTTCATCACTACAATCTCCCGTAGACTCTACCATAGCAAATTTAGAACTGCTGCCTTGGAGTGTTGTTGATTTTATACAATTCGATACTCTAAATCAAATCTTGGTAAGGTAAGTATGACTTCGCTATGGAAAATTTTAAATTGTTCTTTGTTCAATTTGATCAAGACTAATACGAAATTATGTCCATTTAGACTAAAATAATCACAGAATATCACAATCACAATATTAGGTATGATTTACTATTTATTTACTACCAATACACTAACACATGTAGATTGGACACTATTTTCTCTATCTGCCCGTTATCCAACCACTTCCTGAAAAGAAAGAAAACGATTATCAGACCATGGGAAATTCAACTCAACAAAACAAAATTGCATTACATATTTTGAACATTTGCATATTGTGGACATTTTCAATACGTCCAATGAACTGCAATATGCTGCATGGCAAAACGGAGAACAATTAAAAATTAACGGTGCGAGAAAAAATACACAATGGTAATAAAACATTTAACCATCAATGCTATCTATCTACGGATTTTAAAACATTTAAACAGAACTGACGCAAATGTGCTATTAATTTAGAAATAGCATTTTCATTCTTCGCAAAATTTCGACAGTGCATATTTAGATTGGTGAACAAATAAATAAAATGAGAACAGATACAGCATTTGCAAATAATACAAGGATAATGTGATCAGTGTGAATAATTGGTGAACAGATGCCGGAGATGAAATGTACGATTGCTGAAAATACACAAGATGCAAATAATGTACATGTTGAAGGTGCAGATTGCATGTAAGCAGAAAAGTTGTAATCCTGTATGAAACGTGTGTATTCTCCACACGTTTTGTACGTCTGTTATCAGTCAGCTCAAGAGCAATATAAACAGCCTATATCAATAGAGTAGCCAAAGTGTATTCTACACAGGTATGTCTATAACGCATGATTTTTGGTTCATTCAGTGTGCTTACAGCCCTCAAAACCTAATATCACATGTAATAACGTAAATAAGCCATCAAGTTTTCAGTTTTCTTGTAAATGCGAAAAATATTTGCTGTTGTACTTAACAAAGGAGCTCAACACAAAACACAAACGAAACTTTATAGGCTTGAAGTATAAATTATATCATGTTATAATCCAGCCCATCTTGAAGGAGTTGTAAGCATGATTTTCCATATGTGAAATCAATGTGCAATTGTTGAAAATAATGTGCATGTAAAAAATAATTTACAAGGTGAGAATAAACATGCACATTAAGAATAATGTTTGAGTTGACAAACATCCAAATCTGTACAGTAACATACTCATTACTAGATGACCTACCGTTTAGCCAGCACATAAACACTTTTGAGGATAATTACATGAAGTATCGTCTAATTTCCACTCACCGTTGTACCACCTTTAAATAAAAATATACTTTAGCAATTTAGTAGCGCAACAGTCAAGTTCATGATTTGAATAAAAGAGAATTATTTTGCAAAAGAGCCTAATTGAGGTTTCTGATCTCCCTGAAAACAACAACAACAACAACAACAACAACAATAAGAAGTATATATTGCACTCACCACAATATGAGACAAGAACCATCACCGTCGGGTTCATTTGGTTGAAACAGTGCCGGATCAACTGAGATTTTGGAACCGTCACTGTAGGTAATTATATTGTCTGAAATCCTGCCATCAACCCAGAAATTTATATTTACTCCATTTGTTGCAATTACAACCTGAGCACGTTCCAAACTGGCTTGATCAGTAATTTGGTGAAGAGATCCAGATTCACACTGAGCATTTCCTGGAAGTGATGGGACTGCACTAATCACAGGCATTGCTGTGTGATATAACATTAACATAAATAATACTTTTATTGACTTATCATTAAACCATCTCTAAACTCGGCTTCAGCTCCAAGCTTGTATACTAATATCTGAGCCAATTGATTTTTATACCAATAACCAGTAATATAAATAACAAAATAAATATATTTATATATATTAATACACAAAAACACAATATATGCTAATAAACCATATAACATCAACTTATTATCAATTGCATAGTAACGATTTGGAATAAACTAATAACAATAATAACAAACATTGACACTGTCACCGTTTGGTATTGCCAGTAGTTAAGTACTACGTTCAGAACAAGTCACGAAGGGCTCAATACTCAATGGCAGTACATGCAACAAGTAGTGAAACACAGACAGAGACACCAGCATGGATACTAAACAAAAAAATATGGTCCCTGGTCGTTCTTTTGTGTCGGAATTTCGAAAAAAAATCATGATGTGCATGAATTTGCAACCAAGTTTGTTGGTTATACTTTGAATGAAATCACCCTGTTTACTCTCCGAAATGAGAAACATTTTTTTGAAAAAATCTATGCCATTTCACTACCCTTTGGTTTCAATCTGAGTATAGTAAACGTGTGCATACATGTAAGTTGATCACGTGAAACATCAGCAAGGAATCTGCATGGAGATGATTAGATTAAAACCACAATATGTATGATCATGATACATAGTTCGAATGAAATCGACCGACTCATACACTGTAACGGTCACGTTCAAGTATCACAATTCATCAAATTTAGAGACCTAAATGGTCGCCAGTCAGCCATATTTTATCAAATACTGTTTGATTGAAATGTGAAAGAAAAATGAAAATGGAAATGGATCCGACGGGACGAATGCACAGACGGAACCCAAATAAAATCAATATTATGTACCTAATTATTTCCAAAGATATTAAAATATAATTCAAATTACACTTTACCCGAACATATGTACTTTTGCTGCTTGTTGCATGATGTATCCAGTTACTCAACCACCTTTAAACATAAGAACATACAGTATATTAAAAAAAACACAAAAACTAATACTATACACATATTATTAGTATAATATTACAAATATTCACAGTATTTTGATCTTACCGCAAATGAAGACAAGAGCCACTTCCGTCGGGTTCATTATCGTGAAATAATGATGGGTCAGCCGTCATTCTTAAGCCATCACTGAATGTAATTAAGCTACCTTCAATAGTACCATCAATCCAGTAATTGTTAGTATCTCCATTTGCGAGTAATGCAGACCTTGCCCAATTCAAACTAGCCTCGCTATTAACTTTGTACGGGAATTCACACTGAGTATTGGTCGGAAGTGTTGATTCGGTACTGACTTTAACTCCTGCTTTACAGTGCAATGTGAAAAACACAATAAAAACACAGTGTAAATTAATTGAATCTTGATCCTGTTATTCGAAAAAAACGAACAATATACGAAATTCGAAATCGAATAAATGGTCAATAATCCGTCAAACGCATAGCTACTTTTCTGGACCTCTTTTCTGGCATACTTTTATTATGAAGAATCTCGTTAACTCATTAACTACTAGTTCAGGTATTTTCTTTCATTAGCAACCATGACTTTTAGAGATACACCTGCCTGTGCAATTATACATTATATTAGCCAACAGAATATCAGCGGTACTGAGTTTCTCACGTGAGCCCATTTTATCTTGGTCAGCTGGGTTATTTGCTGTCATTGTATAAGAGCCATTCAAGCTAAAATACTGAATTCATTTATTGGTTAGTCAACATTACAACAATAAATGCATACTAATGTCAATTTAATAATTTAATATATTCCCCTTGTGACAATCAATGTGTCCGTTTTTAATTGTGTTAAACGTCAAAGTTTCAATTCAAACGAGGATTGACAAATATATTCTTACTTTGGCCCCAAAATGCATCACTGATCCAATGTCGTATGGCACGTTGTATGTGTTGAGTAATTGCTTATCAGTTACATCGAAGTTGTGCTTTTCACCGGGTATAACATTTTCATAGTGAACTGTAATATAATTGATTCTATCCCATCGAGTTTGTTCATGCCAAAATCCTATTGCATGACCAATTTCATGAGCTATAGTTCTTTTCTATTAATAACAAAATAAAGAACTAGTCACGATCTGAGAACATATATTTCCTACTAAAATGTTGGTGTTGATGTATAATTTTACACAACTGTATTTCTTTGTTAATTTTAGAACTAGTGGGCATAATTACATTGATACAGGTCAAAAAAGAAGACAAAACCTAAAGTGGGCACCACATTAATGCTACGTTTAGCAAATATATTCAAATATAACGGGTAAAATTTAGACATCTAGAATTTTTTGTCACAACTTGTCAAGAACATGATTGAATAGATTTCATGGGTTAAATTTAATTTAACGCAGTATTGGTTAGTATGTTTAAAACATAACGTGTATTTGGTCCGAGTCGATTTATATATTTCTGCAGATAATATTGTCAGGTGGCTCCACATTAAACTCGTATAAAATTCTGGAAATCATAAATTCTATATAAATATAACTTACAGTTGCACAGCTAAATCCTATTGAAACCTGTTGCCGGAGTAGACCAGTGTAACCAACGTGAGACCAACACCTACAAATGTTCAGTGTAATGTAGCAGTGCAATAATTTTCTATATATACTATATACTATATATAATAAAATCCCAGCAATCTGATTAATGATTGACATCATGACTATCGCGAGTATCGCCAATATTTCAAAGTTTAATTATAGTAATTCAACGTTATTTCAGATGTCGACTGAAAACGCATATTGGCGGGGGGGGGGGGTCTTTGAGTAAAAGGCAAACTCCATCCGAAGTTAGAGAAAAACTATGAATATATGTATGTCTATGAACGTTGCCCGTTCAGTATATATCCATTCATAGTTATTAATACAACGACCAGCTGTTTGCTGAATGCGTGGGCGGGTGATTCAGAGACTTGTCTGTTTATATGCATCACGTTTTGTGATCTTAGCTCTCTCATCTTGGTTCTAAAAAACACTTGCTGCTATCGGACATATGTTGTAATACTTTGCTTGTTCTTGTATATATCAACACGGCAGGTTATTTATGGAGTTCAAAGGCCTTAAATTTACATTTGTTATTCGAAATTACCATGTCAATCAAGATGCAGCATTTGTTAATGTAATCCTTGGTTGCCTGGATAGGACATTAAGGGTTCCTAGATTTGTTGAATATGGCCAGTGTATACACTGTGTATACACTTATGTATTCCTTACTGTTCAATTTCAGCAGTTTCAGCAGCTCCGGTTGGCCTGTGTTGGGCAATGTTACGACGAAGAAGCTGCCTAAGTTCCATATTCTTTCAGGATAATCTTTATAATTAAATGCGCCCTGTCAGAAGTGGTATTGCCGTTTTCATCTTTAACATGAAGTCTCCTGACTCATTCACAACATACTGCAAGACATTTTCTACCCCAGTATTTGAAGACTTCGGTTTGGGGGGTAATCTTGAATGTTTGAGCATATTGTCTGTATTTTAGCACAAAAACCATGGTTATTATTGTTTCTCTTGGTATGTCCATATTGATTACGGGGGGGGGGGCTTTAACTGCTGATGTAGGCCTTCCAGTGGTCACCTTTCAAAATGACTGGCCAACTGGCACAGTACACTTAAAGCGATGGAAATTGGACTTCTCAAAACCAAAAACAAGCTAGTCAGGATTAACCCTATAACAGTAACCAAGCTTACAATAAGGCTGAGGGAAGGGTCGTAGTAGACCCCAATAACATGTTTAATGTTCATCTCTCTCAGTCTGTACATACTCATTTAGATGGTAGAACTCAGTCCTAGGACCAACTTAAGGGAAGACCCAAGCAAATTCGACTCGTTTGAGGAAGCGGATCGCTCATGCTGTTTGTTGTGCGACAACAGGGTGTTATGTGTATGTCAAGGATAACATCTCAGCAACATACACCAAAGTCTTTCTTTTTCTTCATGTGTACTATCAGGTTTGCTGGACATTTGAGATGCAGACACTGTTACAGGGTCAGGCTTTGGAAGCTTTTGATAACAATGACGAATGATCATATGAATAAATTTGTGATGAATGTGATTTTGATGTGTATTTCTGTGTGAAATTTTACACTAATCATGAGTTAGGGAAAGCATACATTTACTACACCCAGGGTATAGGCCAGTAATGGGGAGTGGCGTTCAATGCTGTAATTCACAAAGAAAACATTGAACACCACACTGAATGTGTCGTTCCTTAGACAGGATGGTAATCCTACTTGGAACACATTTTCCTCTGGCCACTTCACACAGTCAGGAGTGGAACATCTAAATGACAGCATTTGGGCTTATGGCTGGGCCATATTAGGAGCCATAGACGAGAACGTGGCACTGACACCACCTTTGAAGCATGAAAGCAGTTCTGTGTCAATGTGAAAATTCACCAGATGGCATGCTACATCAATGAAATCATCATTTCTACTGCTGAAGAACAAACCTTGATACACCTTATGAAAACGTCTGTGTTTTGCAAGTTAAAATCCCTCTCATGGGCGATTGTGGAAATTTACACTTTATTGAGTGCACTTCACAACACCGACCCATATCCAATAAAAAGCATGTACGATACACATCGGCAAATTCTATTCAAAATTAACTTCTCCATAATTACGAAGAAATAAATACGAACAGAACATGTGCTCTTTGTCAGTTTTGAAATGCTCCGGACTCATACTGGACTGAACATGGAAGTTCTGCTTCGGTACCTGATAACTTCTCTATTTGTTGAGGCTACCTCCAGGTGGGTGGCTCGCTTATCTTTAAGGCTACCTGCACCTCCTTCAGCCAGTGCCATCAAATTTAGTCTGTTCTGCTTAATATGTCATCTAATTTACTCTGGTAGATTGTTGGTGAGTTTGCCAAGGATGGCTTTGTCTGAGGCTGATGCCAGAATAGGCTTTAAACAGAGTTGGCCGCTACATATAAGTACTGGCAGAACCACTACCAAGATGCGTTTTTGTTTTTGTATTTTTAATGTGCCAGGCGACAGTTCTAGAACATTGAAGAATGTGTCACCCACACATGTTAAATCACGCAAATTCAGTCTTATACAGGTTTTTGACACTAGCCTAGAATTTAGCCAGGAAGTTGATTAGAAAAGTAGTATGCACTGTTGTTGAGCTTTTGCGAGTGATCGATTGTTTGAATTGCATTTTTTGGTTGACAAGCTCATGTATCCGACGTGAGTTATTTTGACATGTATTGTTGTAAAATTGGATTTCTGTGTGGCTGCAAATTTTTATTGAAATATTGAATATTAACATCATCATGATTGTCCATTTTTTATAAATATTCTCCAAGCAAACGAATGTAGTTCCGGGAATTTCTTTGATCATAGAACCTCGAGTTCGTTGTTTTGTCACAGGAAGCGCTAATCCAGTACAGACCTATGTCATCAATCTCCTTCCCAGAGGCCTTTGCGCTTTACGCAATAGTGTCTCTGCCACAGGCAGCCTTCAATTTTGTGGTCAATCACCTCACTACGCACGGCCATTTTTCCGCGGTTGTTTCATTTGAAACCGAACTACAAAAAGTGGAAAAAAACGTATGTGACATCCGAACTATTCATTAATGTCAAACTTCAGTAAAAACGTAAATACGAACCATTTTATCGCGGAATATGTTTTGCAAGGTAATGTTATAGTAGTGAAATGGCGCACGTGATACACTAAAACTTGGAGGAAAAAACGTTCTGTTATCGAATATACTGTAAAATGACTAATTTTCACTGGGTTTAAATTTCACTGATTTACCATTTCAGGCATATTCAGTGGGTTTTAAATTTACGGTTTCGTCATTTAGATAATGTGTTCTATGCTTAATTTTCCATATTCACTGTGTTTTAATTTAGCGCACTTTTCCAGACAGCGAAATAAGCTAAATTAAAACCCAGTGAATAATTACCCCCTTTACAGTAGTTGGGAAAGAAACATTAAGGACTATTTTCACTGAAAGGGGTTTCCTAACATTTCCGTTCATCTTGTATTCTGGTGAATATTTCCGTTGAGTGGAAACCCCGGAAAACACTAAACCTGTTCGAAAAACACTAAACCTG